ATATATATATATATATATATATATATATATATATACAACGCGAATCATTACATAAATTGAAAACACTTGAAGAAAAATGTATATTCTGAAATATGTTACAAATATACCTAAAATAAGAAAAAAAAACTTGATTAAAAATCGATATCGTTATACGTGACAAACTTAGAAATTCCAAATACATTAACTCTCTCAGCGAAACTGTAAGAGATATGACAATTCAGTGGTCATAATATGTCTTAATCATTAATTTCCATTCAATGAAATTTTCCACGATATAACTGGCAGAAATAATTTATAGAATAAAAAAAATATTTGATCGTGGCAAAATTTCAGATGGTGTTTTTGGATCTCTGACTCAACTTAAATATAAATGAAATCTTTCCTGTAATTATCCAAGTGAGAATTACAACAAATATGCTAAGAAATTATACCGTCATCTCTCCTACCAAGTCCATAACTATGAAAAAGCAAAAATAAAAATAAACCCAGCTTACGGTTTTACTTTGATTTTCTCATATGCCAAAGACTGTATTACTCTAAAATTACACCCGATAGTGAACAAGACTTTTCTTCCAATCCAGACGACATATAAAAAGAATTTAAAACCGAAAAAGAGAGAAAGTAACTGATATTGGAAATTCAAAACACATTTAAGTATAAAAAAGTTTTTAAGTCTCTTAAATTTATTTCTGAAAAATTTTTTAAAACAAGGCCAATCTCAACCAAGTAATAACAACTCGTTAAAATACTTTAAACAATCCATGTGCAGAAATAATTTCTGAATCTTACTAAGTGTACGTTTCCGGAAACGACTTAAGTTTTGGAAGAAGTGCCAAAGTCACAGAACTATCGGGATAATCTGGAACTAAAGCAAAACACCCCCATAATGGTTTTGATAAAAAGACATGCCAAGAATATTCCATAACAGCTGTACTTGAGATCTTTCTATAGGACAAACGTAATGTCTTCCTTTCTGTTTCAATTTGGGCTAAAATAAGAAAAACTAATCTAACTTAAATAAGTAATTAGGAATTAAAATAAGCAACATATTTTGGAGAGTGAGGAAAATGCTGACAAAAATAACGGCAAAGGTCACTATTAAATCGAATAAAGAAAAAAAAAACAGAAGAAAAAACTGCGCTTACCTAAAGAAATGATAATCATGCTTTTATCATTTGGTGATTCTCCGATTCCCATTCCATCTGAAAGCATTTACTAAGTTGCACAAAACTTCAGTGACGTTTTTGCACTTTTTCAAATCGGAATAAATAAATAATAGTATCAGACACTGGAAAATCCAACTCTTGGACAAGGCACTAAATTAAAGAGCCTCTAAACACCACTTTTCATCATTAAACTGCCATATTTCCTTCTCACTTCTCCATTGCTTCTCAGAGAGAAAATCCCCACCATTAAGCATTAAGAAAGAAATACTACTCACCAATTACCGGGACCTCTTGTCTGCTGCTACACGAATAATTAGAAAAATCATTGTAAACTGGAGTTGCACTTTTAAGGTCTTCTTTCCCAACACTATCACCTCCATCCATTTTCGAGTCCGAATACTCGACAGAATCCATAAGTGTAATTACTTTAAAAAATAGAAATAAGGAAGGTTAATGACGACAAAAACAATTAACGACGACGCAGCAACAGTACAACACGCAGTGCGATTCTTACAACAAGTTAAAGAATCCCTAAATGCTTCCGAAAAATCAAAACTACCTCCCTTTACAGTACTTCTACTGCTTCATGCTACATCATGAACCCCACAAATAGTCAGGCGATATCTAACGAACCTGGAATGAAAGCCCATCAATTACCTACTTTCATAAATAGGCAGTAAAACAAAATTAAAATATGTGACAAACGTCCTGAGTAAAAATCACGA